GAGCACTTTTTTTCATGTTAAACAGGCATGGCTAAGGCCAACATGGCTCTGCCTTCTTGCTTTGCCCAGTCCAACATGGCAGAGGCATGTTCGCCGCCTCTGAGAACCATGTACATTGCCCCATTTTTAGGCACACAGCGGGTCTATGTTGCTATTAAACATGTTGTAGCACTCAGCTCACAGCCCCATTTAAATGCTCTGTAGCCAGACCCTTCAAAAGAGTAAGAGTGGTTTGTGCTAGCAAACCAGGAAACCTTCTTAAAGGAACCATGTGGTTTTTGCTGCTTCCACTGAGTCAAGAAGCCTTCTCTGCTTGCTTCTACCAAAAAGCCATTTTAAGCTTTCTTGGGTTTTGTGTGGATTTGTTAGTGGAAGCAGCTTGCTCATTCCTGGCTGCCCAGGTGATGAAATAATCACTCAGAAACTATATTATTTACAATACTGTTTGGCCATTAGCAAGCTCCTCTCTGATGCTCATCATTTTCAGTTAAGAGCCTGGCTTTGCCATAAATTCATAGCTGACAAAATGAGCTCTATAGAGGTTCCATGTCTCCCCACCCACGAACACCTGGCTCCTCTTCCTACACACTCTATCTTCCTATATGTGACCAGAGATGAACAATCCACATAATTGTTCTTTCTCCTTCTCATACTTGAAGCAGGCTTGGACTCTTACCAAGTCTCCACATCTTTCACATTCCCATACCCCCACACCACATGGTCTCCCATGACTTCCCTGTGGTCGCTTGTTTCTACCTTGTTGTCTTCCCCAACAGTACCCATCTCCAGTCACCTATTTCCCCACTTGAAATCCTGCAATCGCTTAGAGGGAAAATTCAAGGGTTTATAGTCAACTGAAATGCTCCTGGTCTCCCTAACCTCCTTTTATATTCTCCCATGCACACTTTATTCAAGATTCCTCAGCCTTCTTGCTTGTCTTCAAATATATCCATTGTCACTCTTTCTAAGGGCTTCTGCCATAAGCCGGAATCCCAAGCTTGCTTAAACCAGCATGTGAAAGTGAATCTACTCTAATGATACCAAATATAAGTTATGATTAACAAATCAACTGAATATGATAGTGACACTCTGCTGTCTCTAACAATCCCTCCTCTACAGTTATAAAAGTCCCAAGTAAAAATACCTCCATCTATAGCATTCCCCTAACATAGGAATCAAGACTTTATTCAATAATTATCTTGACTAAAATCTTTCCATGCCCATTTTTCTGCAGTTCTGGCAACAAATTGATAACCTCGGGCAATTTTTAATTAGCTGCCTTTAAAAAATGGTTTGCTAAATTAGTCAACTATGAAATCACCTCACCCAAACGATTAAGTTCGGATTGCATTTCAAATCCATCACCTGTCTTTACTGTCTGAACACACCGTCACTCCAGGATTGTTAATTATGGTATTTATCTGCCCGTGTTTTCTCATGGACATAGCACAGTGTGTTACCAGAGCCAGCTGGCATGTCTTTACCCTGCTGTTTGAAGTGGCGTGCAAGCCACTGGGTGTTGGCATTCCTATAGCCAGAAATAACACTGCACTATCTCTATTGTTTACCCAAGGGAGATAGTATTTAAAGATAAGCCTCCTTCTATCCAGGCCTGGACAGAAGAGCTCTGGCTTGCCTTAGAAAAGATGCTGGTTGCCATACTTAATTAGCATGACAGCTGTGCTGATTCATGGGGAGCTGCACCCCTCCTCATGCCCTTCACAGTGAAATAGGATTTGTGAAGCCACTACCATTTCGCAGCATGTTCTTATGACCTTATTTACACCTCAGATTAAGACTAGCAGCTGGGTAGTATTAGTTCCACCTCACAGATGGGAATACAGAACACAAGGAGGTTTAAATAACTAACATTACACTAATGACAGAGCCAGAACATGCTCCATGTCACCTGTGGACAAGGCACCTCCCACACGTCTGCTGTCACCATTGTCTCCAAACACGATCTCCGTGCTTCCTGCATCTCCATCACTTTTCCCTGCAGCACTTGGGCTCAAAGGCATAGCCATCCTTCTGGGTCCTGCACCACGGTATCTTCCAGGCTTTTTCCTTGTTTCCTTGGGTGTTTCCTGGAGCTAATTCCTGGTGTATGACACCCGTCTGTTTGTGTGTTGCTTTCATTGGTTAATGAATAAAGAAACTACCTTGGCCTTGTTGATAGGATGAAACTTAGGTAGGTGGAAAAAACAGAACTGAATTCTGGGAGGAAGAAAGCAGAGTCAGAGAGAAGCCATGGATTTTCAGCCTGAGATGGATGCCCGTTAGAATCTCCGGTAAGCCACTGCCACGTGGCGATAGATTAAAGGAGATGGGTTAAACTAATATGTAAGAGTTAGCCAATAAGAAGTTAGAGCTAATGGCCAAATAGTGTTTTAATTAATATAGTTTCTGTGTGGTTATTTCAGGTGCAAACTAGCCAGGTGACCAGGGCAAACAAGCGGCCCCTCCTCCTACAAATCCCCCTTCAGTTTCACGAAGGCTGTCACTGACCTTTCAGGGCAGCTAATGAGAAAGATGAGTCTCCAGGACTTCATTGCTGTCTCCTGTGGCTTCTCCCTGGGAAAAAGAGTATACCAGTGCAACCCTGACTAAATGTCTAAAGTGTGGTCTACAGTGGCACTGACGCCTGCACCAACCTGTCTATACCCAGAGAAGGCAGCTTTCTCCCTACGTGGAAACAAGTGGACAGTGGACGGTGGGATTGGTGAGGATGCTGTGTGCTGGGACTCTCCACGTAACCAAGAGATCATGAACCTCACTAGACCAATAGCTCAAGTTAAAAAAAAAAAAGGGGTACAGTTAGATGCCTGATTCAACAGAACTTAAGGACAACTCATTAGATGCTCTGTATTGCTGGCATCTAGCCTTCTACTCCTCTTTTCTCACCTGCCTCTGGGGGTTGATAATGGAGAAGGAGGATTTCATTGCATTTGAGTTAATCCCATCAAATCTATCCCAAGAGTAGGGTGTTTACTAGAGCTCTGCGTCTTCAGTTCCCACCGGCAGTAAAGATTCTTATCATTCTGACCTTGAATTGTTCTCCAGAACCAGGTACAGACTCACAAGGTCCCTGGGCTGGGAACAAGCCTAGAAGACCCTGAATCTGGTGCTTGAATCTTTCGTTAATGTGAAACCTACTTACAAATATCAAGACTTTACGTCATGCTTCACCAGAAACAGCATTAAATTTAAATTAGCCTAAGACAACAGAACCACTTCAGAACATTCTCATGCGTCCAAACCCAGAATCAACTAATCCTTTGGCCAAAACTAAAATATACATATGATAGGATTTCTTCCAGCAGGTGGCAGCCAAGCCTTACGAGAAGGCATAGTGTAAGCAGTCCACTTGTTTCTTAACAGTAAAAATTACTACCAGGCTGTCCACTGCATTCAGGATGCCCACCAGATTCCAAGCCTGTTCAGAAAATTGTAATGAGATGGAAATTGGAGCAGGGGGGCTTGGAGGAGGTGACAGAGCTGAACTCTGAACTCCGGTAGTCAGCCTGCATCAAGTTCACCTGCCTGTCATGGTCACTGCAGTCTTTGTGTTGGGAGACTCAAATAGTGGAGCACTGAGGCCATCCTGAACACAAGTCTTTTAGTTAAGTCCCGCTTGGGGACTCAGAGCAATAAATCATTCATGGCATTGCAGCTTTCCCCGTCACTGTACTACACCCATACAAAAACACTGTCCTTGACTGTGAGTTCACAGAAATAATGGAAAGAGATAGACACACTATGAAAGTAAAACAAAAGAAACTGTCCCTGTGGATGTCTCTTCTCTCCTTCCCCAGACAAATCCTTGAGTGAACAAAAGAAATATTAATAGCATGAGGCCAGTATATTTAATCTTTCTAAAAACTGCGGTATATGATAACTAGATGAACCATCTCCTGGACCCAAAGGAGGTAAGAATAAGAGAATAAGAGTTGATGGATCATAATTGTACCTGAAGTGTACCCTTGGTACTCATTGGAGAAGCAATGTAAATTTGATGCAGCAACAAGAAAAGAAAGGGTGCCCAGAGTCCGGGAGTCAAAGCCGGTTGTCAAGCCAGTCCTGTTCCGCGCTCCCCTGCCTTTTCTTTCTCTTTCTTTTTTTTTTTTCTTTTTTAAATTTATTTATTTATTAAGGATTTCTGCCTCGTCCCCACAACCGCTTCCCATTTCCCTCCCCCTCCCCCGATCAAGTCCCCCTCCCTCATCTGCACGAAGAGCAATCAGGGTTCCCTGACCTGTGGGGAGCCCAAGGACTGCCCACCTCTATCCAGGTCTCCTAAGGTGAGCATTCAAACTGCCTAGGCTCCCACAAAGCCAGTACGTGCAGTAGGATCAAAAACCCACTGCAATTGTTCTTGAATTCTCAGTGTTCCTCATTGTCCGCTATGTTCAGCTAGTCCGGATTTATCCCATGCTTTTTCAGACCTAGGCCAGCTGGCCTTGGTGAGATCCCAATAGAACATCCCCATTGTCTTAGTGTGTGGGTGCACCCCTTGTGGTCTTGAGTTCCTTGCTCGTGCTCCGTCTCCTTCTGCTCCTGATTTGGACCTTGAGATTTCTGTCCGGTGCTCCCGTGTGGGTCTCTGTCTCTGTCTCCTTTCATCGCCTGATGAAGGTTAATATTCCTGAGGATGCCTATGTGTTTGTCTTTGGATTCACCTTATTTAGCTTCTCTAGGAACATGAATTATAAGCTCAATGTCCTTTATTTATGGCTAGAAACCAAATATGAGTGAGTACATCCCATGTTCCTCTTTTTGGGTCTGGCTTACCTCACTCAGGATAGTGTTTTCTATTTCCATCCATTTGTATGCAAAATTCAAGAAGTCCTTGTTTTTTACTGCTGAGTAATACTCTAATATGTATATATTCCATACTTTCTTCATCCATTCTTCCGTTGAAGGGCATCTAGGTTGTTTCCAGGTTCTGGCTATTACAAACAATGCTGCCATGAACATAGTTGAGCATATACTTTTGTTGTATGATAGGGCCTCTGACAGATGGAGTGGCTGCAGCCATCTCCAAGACGGCGGTAGCGCCCATCGAGCGGGTCAAGCTGCTGCTGCAGGTGCAGCATGCCAGCAAGCAAATCACGGCAGATAAGCAATACAAGGGCATTATAGACTGCGTGGTTCGTATCCCCAAGGAACAGGGAGTCCTGTCTTTCTGGCGTGGTAACCTGGCCAATGTCATCAGATACTTCCCCACCCAGGCTCTCAACTTTGCCTTCAAAGATAAATACAAGCAGATCTTTTTGGGTGGTGTGGACAAGAGGACCCAGTTTTGGCGCTACTTTGCAGGGAACCTGGCATCAGGTGGTGCCGCTGGGGCCACATCCTTGTGCTTTGTGTACCCCCTTGATTTTGCGCGTACCCGTCTAGCAGCTGATGTGGGCAAAGCTGGAGCTGAAAGGGAATTCAAAGGCCTTGGTGACTGCCTGGTTAAGATCTACAAATCTGATGGGATTAGGGGCCTGTACCAAGGCTTTAATGTGTCAGTCCAGGGCATTATCATCTACCGAGCTGCCTACTTTGGCATCTATGACACTGCAAAGGGAATGCTTCCAGATCCCAAGAACACTCACATCTTCATCAGCTGGATGATTGCACAGTCTGTCACTGCTGTCCCTGGCTTGACTTCCTATCCCTTTGACACGGTTCGCCGTCGTATGATGATGCAGTCAGGATGCAAAGGAACTGACATCATGTACACAGGCATGATCGACTGCTGGAGGAAGATTGCTCGTGATGAAGGAAGCAAGGCCTTTTTCAAGGGTGCATGGTCCAACGTTCTCAGGGGCATGGGTGGTGCCTTTGTGCTTGTCTTGTATGATGAGATCAAGAAGTACACATAATTATGTCATGGGTGTTCTCCCCGAGAACAGGCATGTTGTATAATAACACCATATCTTGAACATTCTGGACAGATTCTCTGGGCTTGTCTGTTTTATCCATGGCAACTATTTACCAGTTGAAAAGTGGGAAGCAATAATATTCATCTGACCAGTTTTCTCTTAAAGCCATTTCCATAATGACAGTAATGATGGGACTCAATTATATTTTTTATTTCAGTCACTCCTGATAATAAAAATTGAAGAAATAAAAAATATCTAAAAAAAAAGAAAAGAAAAGAAAGGGAGCTCTTTTCTTTCCCATTTACTATTCTTTTTCTTTTAAAGATTTAGTGCATCTGTATTTTTATGAATCTGCGTACAGGTTTGTGCATGTGTGAGTGAAGATGCCCACAGAGCTCAGAAGTGGGCATCAGATCCCGCTGAAGCTGGGACTACTGGCAGTTGTGAGTTGCCCAAATTGGGTAATGGAGCTGCACTCTGGCCTCTGTAGGAACAGTGTGCTCTCTGAACCTCAGAGCTATATCTCCAGCCCCACTCTTTGTGTTTTAACCAGTTTTCCTGTAATTTTTTTTGTCTCTTTGCATGTTCTCCATGGATCAGTTAGCCTGCAAAAAATAACAGATGAGTTAAGTTCTCTGTCAGCTGTAGTGTAATATATGTGTGGCTGAGTGTGCTAATGTGTGGGGAATTTATTATCCCCACCCTTAATGGCAGGAGGAGTAGATGTCTCCATAATACAGCTGATCTGAGCAGAGGGGTGACAGGGCCACATATAAACTCGGTGAGATGAAATGCTGCTCGTCACAATATTCTCCTTAATGTGAAGAAAGATTTAAAAGAGCAAATGACACAAAAAGACAGATCCAGTTTGGGATGTTCATCCTGTGATGCAAAGGCGACAGTATCCCAGAACAGCAATAAATGCATCTCAACACAAAATTGTAAACCTTCGTAAAGCATTATGAGATGTATAGAGTAGGGTGTGTGTATGTGTGTGTGTGTGTGTGTGTGTGTACCATGGCCCTCACAGAAATCAGAAGACAATTCTGAAAAGTCTGTGAGTCTCTCTTAATGTACCTGCCATGCTGTGTTGGACACGCCAAGCTGCTGTCTTGCGAGCCCTAAGGACATCAGGCCATTGTCCTGCCTCTGTAGGATTACTAGGATTAATGCATTCAAATGACTGTTTCATTGGTACAGTTTTTATCTGTTGTTTCTTTTAATGTAGATTCCATGGATTGATCTCAAGTCACCAGATTGTATGCAAGTACTTTTCTCTTGAACCATTTTGCCAGACTAATATTTTTTAATAACTCAATTTGAAGATTCTTTATAAATGACAAAGTCCCATTGCAATGACAGAAGGCTGGACATGGCTACTTTGTTTGCCTTTCTCCCTTTTCAGCACCAGATGGATGCCGCTGCTTATTTCTGAAGTCTCTTCTCATTTTCATTTGTCTAAAGAAATGCCATTCCTTTTTATTAGATTTTTAACTACACACTAGAGCCCTGCCTAATGGAGGCGAGGATTTGCAATGTCTCTTTACTTTCTCCATTTGTTTAGCAGATCATCTAATCTTTCTTAAATTTGGTGCAAATTTATGAGTAGACAAGCTGGAGAATGAACTTTACAGCAGCCAGAACTCCACAAATGCCTGGGTGTCTGAAGAGGAATCTCCTAAGACAAGATTTCTATGTCTGTTCCTTTGAAAGACAAACGCATACAATGCAAATATTCACCCACTCTTTTGGAGACTTTTCCCTCCATGTTCTTAAGAAAGGGGTATCTCAGTTTTGGGGTGTAATGACTCAATCCAAGATGAAGGTATGAAGGGAAAATTGCATGAAGTAGAGAAGATGGGAAGAGGCTTCATCTGTGGCAGAAAGAGCCCTCCTGCGTGGAGAGCCTGAGGAACATCAGTGGGAGGAAGGAGCCAGAGAGGGGGAGTCTGCACTACTTCCACTAAGGCGGTTGGCAAAGATTCCATTTAGAGCAGCAGAGCCATAGGTGTACTTGGAAGCAGTAGACAAAGGCAGGAGATGTCTCAGTGGTGTTCTCAAAGGAACAGATGGCAGAAAAGCAGCTGATGCATCCTTATAAGAGCAAAACACACAGCGGGACCCTCAGAAGAGCATGGTGAATGTTCAGCCACAGTAGGGAGATACAGACCAGAGTCCAAAGCAGACTGTTCCAATGACCATGAAGATGAGGATGTGAGTCTAAGGGTAGTCAACGTTTGCCATAGCTGTTGAATGAATGGGAAACATTCACAGTAAATTTCCATTTTGATGAAGCATTTGCACTAATCTAGTTAGGCAGACAGCTTCTTGATCTGACTGAGAAGGGAGAGATTTACTGCCTGGAGACAAGATAACAGGGCATTCATTGCATGTGTAGGCTGTTACTTCATGTTTCAAGACCAGAGGTGGAGATCCTGCTGCTTCTTTTTTGGTGTTGAACATTCTTGTCAGTCTAAGGACAGGTTCATGGTGTAGCTTTTTCCCAGATCAAATGATACTTTCTCACTTCTGAGCCTCTCATGCTTTGCTGGGCTAATCAACTAACCCGGAGATCAGAAAGGCAAGGAAACACAGGCCTCCCTCCTCAGCTTTTAGATTAAAATCTACAAAGAGAATTTCAGGGTGAGAAAAGACATAAGACCATACCAATATATGAAAATATAAAATGGAAACTGGGCGGTGGTGGCGCATGCCTTTAATCCCAACACTCAGGAGGCAGAGGCAGGCAGATCTCTGTGAGTTCGAGGCCAGCCTGGTCTACAAGAGCTAGTTCCAGGACAGGAACCAAAAAGCTATGGAGAAACCCTGTCTCAAAAAATAAAAAAATAAGAAGAAGAAAATATAAAATGAAGAAGAAGATGCTAATGTACTCTTAATTCTGATAAACAAAATGCTGTCAGTGTGGAGGAAGGCTGCCTCCATGTGGAAGTCAACCTTCCTAATCCTTCTTACCAATTAGAAAGTGCAACCGCATGGTTTAAGCCAGAGGAGGGAACAATGGAAGGATCGATTCTGGAGAAAGACCCCAGGAACTAAGCAACCAAAAGAGAAATTGGATTTGGAAAATGAAGGATCCTAAAAGAAGGGTCATAAAGCCCCCAAGGGTTTGTGCTCGCTGTGGGTGCTGCTCACCTTTGTACAATGTTTCTCAAGCGGAGACAGAATGCCACTTCTGATTAGATTGGAGCATGACCTGAGCCAGCTGAGCTACCTATGGGAAGGCCTGCTAGGCTGCAAAAATGGAAGCCCAGAGAGCTACCATTTGCTGCGATCAGGATTCGGGCCAATTCTGCGTGAGACATCTGCTCGTCACAGTCAGTGTCCACTCTAATTGGCAGTGATTGCAAACCCTACCACCCAAGGGCAGCCACAGAAAACCCACTTTCTGAAGTACAGCCAGACCTCAAAGGAAGCAGACCTCAGCAGGCAGTTTCCCTGCTCTCCCTGATCTTATCTCCACAGACTAAGCAGAGATGCCGGTGGGAGGTTCTGTACCAGGGACAGATAAAACGATAAAGTAAAACAGATAAACTATAAAAGCCAACAGTGGACAAAGCCAGCTTGAAGATAGTCTTTGTGAAAAAGGAGACATATTGTTTTATTGAAGAGAAAGGAAAAACTTGAGGATGTTACAGAGAATGGTTTGGCTGGCATTAGGAATAGATTGAAAGCTTGTTTCTCACACAGGACTATGTGGAGAGATGCTTCTGGGCCACTAACAAACATGGAAGATTCCTAGGCTCCACTCCAGGTCAAAAGTCTGAACTGAGAGGGAGCCAGAGTGAAGCTGCATTTTAACTAGTTCGGGAATGATTTGTTTTGATCTAATTTTCACATTAAAGCCCAGGCTAACCTGGAACTCATGTCAACCTCACAGCCTCAGCCTCCTGAGGGTTGTGATCACAAGCATCACTCAGAACACTCAGATGCTCTAGACATGACTAAAGATATGCTCTGGGGAAAGGACAGAAGATAGCGTGTCCAGTCTTGATCCTGTGAGTGTGGACACACAACGTGCAAACAAAGCTTGCAAGTGGTCTTAAGATCAGATTGGAGGTATCGACTGGGATGAGCACAAATTGCCTGACCCCAGCTGCTAATGACAGCTGGAAGAACGAGGTGTGTGTGTCCAAATGCGATCATGTGTTTGAAAGAACTATCACTGGGAGAGTTGGGGAGGTAACAGAGCCTTATTCTTTGCCATGAGAGCAGCTTCCAGTATGAACCCTGTAGTGTTGAAGGTGTGAGCATGTATCAGGGCTGGGCCAATATTTCATTTTTGATCAGGACTTTAAAGACTGTGGATGCAGAGAGCAGAAAAGTGACAGCAGTGAACCCTATAGCATTGTAGTCTTCATGGGAATGCCCTTCCCAGCCTCTTCTTCAGGAAAGAACTTTACTGCTGCTGTTTGTCATTTTTTAAGTCACTTCTGTCCTTCTTATCTGAACTCTCACCTATTTACATATTTTTGATAAATTCTTTTCTGCTTAGGTTTATAGTAGTTGTAGGACAAAAACAGACCTGTGATAAAAGTTTTACAAATAATCAAGAGAAAGAACTGCATAGACATGAGACAGCCAGAAGCACATTCGGGAACAAAAGACCAAAGGCTTGTCTATAACAATGGTTCCAGAGAGCCCAACACTGTGGAAATCAAGAAGGAACTCCCCGGAAAAAGGAGCTCTCCGGGGCTGAGCATTTCCTTTTATGTCATCCCAGGCTTCACAGATCATTTTCCAAATTTGTGGCACCTAGATTTCAATGTTCATATGGGTGTAGGCATGTGTATGTGGAGGTCATGAAACAATAAGGGACTGTGGAAAAGAAAAAGACATCTCCAGTAGGGTGGGGAAAAGAAAGAGGAATGGGAGGATATGGCATGAAGTCAGAAGAGGAGCTTAGGAAGAAGAAAAGACCAGTGGGAAGGAGGGAGGAGGTGGGAGGGAGAATGAGCAAAAATATGTGTGAAAATGAAATG